TTCATCTGCCGGAAATCTACTTATTTGTCATTCAGCCTATCTCATGTTGTGTTGTTTTCAAATAGAAGTGAGTATAAAACAAGAAATTCGTGTTTTGCTCCAAACCTGGAACAAACCATTGCAAGAAGTTCCATTTCTATTTCAGATTGGCAGAAGTACAGCCTGTTCCAGATTTTGCCTGATCAAAATAGTGTTAGAGCCCCTCCCAGTGGCATCCAGTGCAAGTAATTAGGAAAACCAGGTGGTGTGTAATGATGTCATGATAGAGATGCAAATATATATGGTATGCAAGTTGTTGCATTGCAAGATGATATGCACATTTCCTCATATTGCCCACCTTCCTGCCTCAATAGAGGCCCATAAGCCCTCCTCTTGTCTTTATCTGCCAAGAAACAGCCAGATGGATGAGAAGAGGAGGGAAGCCTACTCTTTAAAATCAGTAGAAATAATTACCTGTTTTGTTTACTAACTTTTCACTTTTCCAGACAATGAAGATGGTCATGAAACAAATGCTGGAAATTTTCCAAACTATTCTCTAAATTGGAAAAAAAAATGTTTTGGTGATGACCTAGGTCCTAGGCCAGTGATGGCGAAACCTTTAGAGACCGAGTGCCCAAACCCGCAACCCAGAACCCACTTATTTATTGCAAACTGCCAGGATCACATCAACATTGTGGTGCCCTCAGGGGAGGCAGGAAGCATGGCCCACTGGGTAAACATGTTGCTTGTGAAGGGGACACCTGTGGGGGCCAGGCAGGGTTGGGGGAGATCCAAAAGATGTCTGGCGAATGGGGTAGTGGGCAGGAGGCTCATCCTGTGGGGGGAGGCAGGGGGCAGGGCAGGGGTGCCATTGCCGTGGGGCAAGGCGAGGCAGGGGCCAGGGCGGCTGCTTCTTGATACCATCAGCCCCCGCACACAGAGGCCAGCAATTGCATAGGGGCCGACAGTGTCCATCAGCAGCCACAGCCTGCTGGCCCGTTGACCGGCACACTCTGGGGCTCTGCAGCCCGCTGCCAATATCGGGTCAGCCCTCCAGCAGCAGGCGGAGTAAGGGAGGCAGGAGGCATGTGATGAAGACCGCTGGATGCGCTTACCCGTCCCATCTGTTTTTGCTTGCGGTTGGACAGCAGGTTGCTGCTGGTCATCTTCTCCCCCTCACAGATCTTGCCCTTGGCCCACGCATGGAGTCTGTTCCCCTCGCTCACCTGACCTGTGCAAGCTGCTGGCAGCAGCGATGCACATGCCCACAGAGAGGTCTCTGAGTGCCGCCTCTGGCACGTGTGCCATAGGTTCGCCACCACTGTCCTAGGCCATTTTCTGGTTTGTTAGTATAGCCAGCCATGCTATCCTATCTAGCTCACAGGATCACAATAAGACTCATCTCTTGCCTGATTGCTTTGGCTACCCTGCATTTGTCCTGAAGTGATAGACTCTGCTCCCCACTGTATCCTATCCTATATTCTGTCATCATAAAATGTGTCTGTGTTCTTTGAGTTAGGATGAGCTTCCTTTCACTGACCTCAATGGGAAGACAATTTCTGGTGTCACGTGGACTCTAGTTATGCTACCATAAGAGCATGATCTTTGATTAGAGAGATATAAAATACTGCCTGAAATGTGTTCCTCCATGGGCCTATCATGTTCTGCCCCCAGCTGCACCCTGTTGTTGCTTCTCTCAATTGACAGAATGTTCCACCAGCATATACGGAAATTTCACCAATTGTTGTGGTGTCCTATCTCAACTTTCATCTCATTCCTTCCCCTCTTTAAGTTTTTCAGCTCGCAGATCCTGAATAAATCTGAAACTTCAAAATACCAGTGAGCAGAGCCTTTTCGGCATGTGATGATTTCAAAATAGTAAATCATGCAAATATTAGGTGTGATTTCAGCCTCCTCAAAAAAAGGACAATTGCATCATAAGATGTGCTAGAAATTAGAATGCAGAACTACCAGATGTTCTGATAAAGTTTTGTTTTTGTAAGTCATTTTTAAAAAATTGAAAACTAAACTAACCATTATTGAGAGAAGCTATGACCATACTGTATCCTTTATTACAAGGGTCCCCAATCCCTGGTCTGTGGACCGGTACCGGGCTGCGGCATGCCAGCAACCGGTCCGCACAAACAAGCGAAGCCCCATCCGTGGGATGCAGGCAGCACACAAAACCATGCACTTCCTGGTGCCCAAAAGGTTGGGGATCTCTGCTTTATTATACAATTCTTGTTTTGTCAAAAATTGAGTGAAAACCTACTGTATAAAAGAATCGGTTGGTAATCAAGTTCTTTCTGCAACCACAGCCACCAAACAAGTTTATTTTTAGCAGTGTGGTCAAAAGATGCAAATATTTCTTACCTATGTATATTTGCTTAAGATAGTATCTTTAAATGACTTTAATTGCTTAAATTAAGGGAGTGTCCTACCAAGAAAATAAGGGCATTCATTAAAAAAGCCACATCTGAATGATAATACGGCAGATTTGTTTTTCAACATTTTTGATGCTTGGTTTTTCTCTCTTTCCTCAATTATAGTTATTATGAGCCAGAAATCCAGCACAAAACACAGTTCTGAAGAAATGGGGAAGTATTGTTAGAACAGTACAAATGAGACATGTGACATTACAAGCCAATTATACCTTTCAAGGTCAAAAACCGTTTCTAAAAGGGGGATTATATTAATACAGGACTGTGGTAGCTACAGCCTCCTTTCAATACTCCATTCCTTTGACCAAAGAGTAAGCGAAATAGACGGGACTGTGAGAAATGTATATTTATTCAGGAGCAAAAAAATAATAATGATCCAGCCAATTCAGTGGCTGTTTGCAATCATATACAGTATCCTTAAGAATTGCTTAGGTATATAAATTGATACTTCTGATCTTGGGGAAAGAGACACAAAACACTCTTAAGAAAATTGGTACCCAGAGCAAATTATGTTGATGAGAATTTGCTGTATTAATCAGGTAGTCCTCGACTTACAACCACAATTGAACCCAAAATTTCCATTGTTAAGCAAGACAATGGTTAAATGAATTTTGCCCCATTTTATGACCTTTCTTGTTACAGTTGTTAACTGAATTGCCGCAGCTATTAGTAACACAGTTATTAAGTGAATCTGGCTTCCCCATTGACTTTGCTTGTCAGAAAGTCACAAAAAGTGATCACATGAACATAGGACGCTGCAACTGTCATAAATACAGGCAAGTTGCCAAGCATCCAAATTTTGATCATGTGACCATGGGGATGCTGCAAACGTTGGAAGTGTGCAATATGGTCATAAGTCACTTTTTTCAGTGCTGTTGTAACTTTGAACAGTCACTAAATGAATGGCTGTAAGTTGAGGACTACTTGTATAGTGTTTGTTGATATTTCAATCTTTACCAGGGATGCAGGAGTAAGTGGCTGCAGAAGCTTTTCTTTCATTCCCCAGACTATCTCAAATTAGTAATAATGTGGGAGAAGGAAAAATATAAAATACACGGAAAATGATTGAAATTAATATTTAATCTCTGTAAATTAAAATAAATGAAATAAAAAAATATTTTTGTCCTCATTCAACCCTCCTCTTTGTCTTGTGACTCCACTTATTGTTTGAGATACAGCCCATAGCATGCTATTCCAAAGCCAAGCAAGGCCTTGGAGAGAAAGAAATGGCACATATCCCTTATCTATCTTGTCTACTACAAGAACTGGCAGTGGCCATCCCTAATACATTCCTATTGGATGTAATTAAAAATATAATTTGGACATTTTATATGCAAAGCTCATCGCTGACCTGAAACCTTTCTCAACAGAGCTATAGAGTGTTATGTAGAATGCACTGTTGTTATTCATTTTCTGACTGCAATTGAGAACATAAAAGGTTTTTTTGTGTTTCAATCTGTATTTTGTTTAATCCTCCAATTTACTTTTTTTATAACTGTAAATACACACATAATACATATATAATTGGCATTCTTCATTCCAGCAGTAATAGAAGAATTATAATGAAGCATTGGCTCAAAAGACTAGGCGACCTAACAAGAAGTTGGATTTAGCATAGGACAAGGGAACAATTACCCAGTGTTCTTCCGCATCCACACCTCAAGAGCCTTCAGGCACTGGGAGAGAATTGCAATGACATAGATAGAAATATGTAATTAGGTATCATCAACATACTGATAATATCCTGCTCATGTTGATGGGTAATCTCCCCCAGTGACTTCATATAGATCAGGGGTGTCAAACTGCCAGCCCACAGGCCAGTTGCATCATACAGAGGCCGCGCCCACCCCAGCTCTGGCAATGCAAAAAAAGTTATGATATGTTGTGACACGTGACGTGGCGAGTTTGACACCCGTGATATAGATGTTTGAAGCAAGGAGAGGGTAGAAGCCCCACAAAGAAAGGACCTTGAGCTTGTCTCTCCCCACCCACCAACCCCAGCTGGAACAAAAAAGAAGAATCCACTCCCAATCTCCTCAGCTGGTCCAGAAGGTATAGTTCTAGTTAGGACACGGGTATCAAACTTGCCACGTCACATGACATATCGCGACTCCTTGCATTGCCGGCAGTGGGGTGGGCACGGCTTCGGTATGATGAAACCAGCCCGCGGGTGGCAGTTTGACACCCCTGAGTTAGGAGGATGTACTCTAGCAATTTTGTTGTTGAATATCTACAATCTCAGAACACTGGGTCTAAATAAGGGCAAATCTGTTTCGATTAAAAGAAAGAATTTTTCCTAATTTTAATACTGGCAGGTGATTTCCTAAGCTTCCTTGTTGCTGAGTATCTATAATCTCAAGAACACTGGATCTAAATAAGGGCAAATCTGCTTCTGTTAAAAGAAAGGATTTTTCCTACTTTTAATACTGGCAGGTGGTTTTCTAGGCTCTTGATTATAATAAATTGCACTTCATATGTATTTGGCAATGTTTTATATATCAGCTGCTTTCTGGGTTCCACAAACAGCACCTGCAAACATAAATTTGTAACTCAATTGACAGCTGCAGGGCAGATGGGTACATGGAGTCTTATGAATCTGGAATTGCTACCATTTTCCTAGCAGAATTTGCATCTTTAACATCAAAAAAGCTGATCTTCTACAGACTGCTTCCAGCAAGTAAGTGCCATTGTGGGGAAACTTGCTGAATTTCAGTTTGTTAAAACTAAAGGGAAAACTAAGTTAGCTTGCTTTTCTCGAATGCTCTATAAATATACATGATACACAAAATGACACATTTTGTCTTACATGTCCAAACTTAGCAGAAGGCAGAATGGAGATGATCAATAAATAGAATAATGGAAGAAACTTGATGCATTTAACACAAGGATGTGACTTCATTCTAAATATGCCTAAGTGTTACCTATTGAAAATGGTCCCTATGTAAACAGATTCTGTACAGAGGCAGGAAACAGCTGTATTATCAGCTAGACAATATGCACCAGGACAGGAAAGTAACAGTTTAAATACAACAAAAGAGCCACATAGGATTTTGATCCTTTTTATCTTCTTTCTGCAGCAAACATCATTCCCATGTTGATCCCGTGGGGGAGGGAGAGCAAAAGAAGTTGTCTACATACAAGAGTGGATACTTTAGGAAAAGACTAAGTTTCAGAACACAAATAACTCTTAATCCTGTTTCCTAAGCCAACAGAAACCAAAGGATGTGCATATGTACATGGCACTCTTGCATTGCCCGGAGCTCTTTGCAAGAGAAAATATTGATAAAATGTTTCACAGAGCTGAAGAGATCCAAGGAAATCCTGTGAAAAAGAGATCCTTCCAGCCTATGGGAGCTTGTATATTCTAATAGCCAATATCTTCCAAGACCTAATTCCTATCCTCTTAATTTTCTTAACCAAATCAATGTTTTGCAGATGGATGCCAACTCCTATAATTTCCAGCTAGTAAGGGGGGGGGAGGGCTCTTCTCAGCTGGGAGAAGGACTGTTGCTTTTGAAAATAGTACCATTTGGTAGAGGTGGGAAAACTAAGTTTAGAATACACTGGAATCCTTCAAACTCAGCTTTTCTCACCAGGATTGTGGTGAATCAAATTTTGGGCAAATCTTATACATGTGTCTTTAGACTTGGAAGATTGATAACAAAACAGTCTCTGTAATTATGCTTTTTGCCAACTGCTGCTTTCCACCTTTTGACAAGTGCAGTCATTAGGGAGTATGGGGGCCACAGGCTTCAGGCCCTGAATTTATAAAGAAAAGCTCTCACAGATACTGTTGTTCCTGATTGTTGTTCTTTCTCACTCATCTACTGTATATACAGATGTATAAATCCATCTGTGGATAAGCTGAACCCAATTCTTGGAGTGTATAATCATCTTATCTACAAGTATGTATGGTCATATTTAATCACACCCCATTTTTAGCAAAACATGAACTAGTTCCATTCCCCACCATCCAGTCAGAGCTCAAGAAACTTCTTGGATGAGAAACGAAACATCATCAAAGGAAAACAAGAAACTCCACTTGCATCGTGAAAAAGCATCTTTGGGATAACTCTGACCTGGATGACTGAGACTCTCCATAGACATTTAGTTCATTGATGAAGTCATAATATAGTATATTTATTTGGGTATTGCAGCAACTGTTGTTTTGAGAACCTACTTACACTTTATACAGTACAATTGTAAATTAAAAGATGTCACTAATCTTTACATGTTCTTAATTTTTGTCAAGAATGGATTGGAAGAGAGCATAACTTTGAGTAGTTTGTCATGTGGTAAACTAAGCTGTGTTTGTTTACTTATTAAAAAACATGCGTGACTTTCACTTTACAATTATCTGCTTTTATATTGATAATCCTGATAGAAATGGGTGTGGGTAAAGACTCATTATGTTGGGAGCAGGCCAAATGGTTCTGTCCAAATCAGCTTTTGGAGAATAACTCAGGGATTTTCAGAGAATCTATGTATTGGGGCCTTCCCAATCAATCAATCAGAACTAGAAGGGACCTCGGAGGTCTTCTATTCCAACCCCCTGCTCAAGCTATGATCCCTTCACCTAAAC